CTTGTTTGTTAATAATACCAAGACATCCTTTGGCCACTAATTTTATTAAATGTACCCTTCACAGACACTTGGTTAGCAGATATGGTGCTTCTAGAAATTGGATTTCTGAACTTAGTTTCAATCCTGGAATTCTGTCATTTTCAATTTAAGTCAATGTCATTACATTTCTGATTTCTGTCATGTGTGAAATAAATGACAATCTTATATAAATAACTATATACATATAATCTTACTGTAAATAACTATATACATGTCATACAATAATGCACACAATATGACTCATGTAAATAACAGCATGAGCCAGCTATAACATATGTTTGTGACATAAATGGCATTTCAAATCGTTAGGCAGAATCATATTCAGAAAATGCTCAAAAAGTACCAAGAAAAGTCTACAGCCATGCTACCCTGAACAAGCCCTATCTCATCTGATTTTAGAAGCTAAGCAAGGTTGGGCCTGGTTAGTACTTGGATGGGAGACCACCTAGGAAGACTGTAGGCGTAAAAAATAAAAAAATAAGGAATTGTAAACTGACAAGGTCCTTGCAATCTGTTATGTCAACCAAGGGTTGCCTCATCTAAAAAAAAAATAAAAAATAAATAAATAAAATAAAAAAGTGAAAAATAAAAAAAAAAAAACACAGATAAAACTAACACTTATACTTACTACAGTCAGGTATTGAAAAGATAAAAATGATAACATATTTGAAAGTACCTTGAAAATTGTATCATCACAATATAAAGGCCAGAAAATTTCTGATTGGGTACTTTTCTTTTCCAAATGAACATTTCTATAGAAGATAGTATATTCACCTTGGTAAGGTAATAACACAAGGCTTGAAACCATGTGAGAGTACAGAAAAATGTAGGGACATGAAAAAGACACTAGCAATGTAAACCATGTCTTTAAAATATATTCTTTAGGTGGATAAAATAATTTTCCATGTAGAAATGTTTCAAAAAAGGCGAGGATACATTATTTTACTAATGGATCTGCACTGAATCCTCTTTGGAAACTGCACAATCGGTTGCCAAATTTAGCTCAGAAAATCAACAGCCTTTTATGTTAATATTTTCAGTTTAAGCTCCAAAATCACTATCCAAATATCATAATTTGCTAGTATTGAAAAGTGCCTTAGAAGAATGGGGCAAATTATTACATATGGACAGCCAACAAGTATAAAATAGATGTGTTGACAGAATTTTTTCCAAGCTACAGATAGACTGACTTATCCGAAAGCCTAAGGCAAACATAAAACCAATGACTACTTAAAAAGCACTAAAATGAAATAAAAACTCGAAATGAATAAAATTGTGCTAATTACAAATCACTTTGTCGCACATTACTGTTATTTATCTCTCTAGTTCTACTTTTTGGCATTTCATTCACAAGAGATAAGCATTTTCTATTTCTAACGTAATGCAACTATTTCCAATATTTCTACTTTTTTAAAGGATGCTTTGGGGGAAAAAAAATTAGAAAAATCAGAATGCTGTAGTTCTGTTAAACAGCGCACCCTTGTGGTTTATTTTACCTTACAGGATAAGAATGCATCCAATATACCTCATGGATTTGGAAATGATTTTATCATTTTTTTCCAGGCTACTATTAGTTTCAATCATTAAAAATAATGCCCTTTTAAAATTCAAAATTGAAAACTAAATTTTTAAAATAGATATAAAATGTCTATTGTGATAATGACTATCTTTGATTTTAGATTTCAAGCAAGCAAGCAGTAAAATAAGTAAAATTCACCCATAAACTTATAGTTCTGCTAAATTTCCTGAATATTTGCAACTGGCTACATAAACAATTTCAATTCAGGGGGCAATTTTATTTATATGCATTATATAATTATGTATACTACGTTTTAGTTGTTAGTCTTTAACTTTTCAATACAACCTGCCAAAATTCTGGCTTTTCTGTAAAAGCTTAAGAAATATATTACTGAGAATTACCTGGCCCAATTACTATAAAGCAAATGTAAAAAGTAAATTTTTTAAGTTATCCAAGTACTTCTGAAAATTTATCATATATATATACATGAAATACTAAAATTTAGTGATATTTTAGTGTGACAGATATTCTCATATATACTATACCTGGCTGTGTGAATACTATGGTTAAAATTTATTTATCAATTCTCTTGAAGACATGCTATGTTACAGAATTTTGCTGGGGAACAAAATTCCTGCCTTCTGGTCGGAGAGAGGAAAAGGGGAAAAATTAACGAAGTTAAAAGCTTTAAACAATAATATAATCTTAACACTTATCTTTAGAGGATGGGATACTTATCCCATATCATGTTATATTATCAATGAAATATTATGTGCCTTTAAAAAGGAGAAGCTCTTTATGTACTCATAAGGATATCCAAAATAAATCATTCAGATCACTAGAGGAGAATCCTTCTTTGCCTCTTCCAGGTTCTGGTGACTCCTTGAAGTCTCTGGTTTGTGGCAGCTAAACTCCAATCTCTGCCTCCACTATCACATGGTCTTCTCCTTTGTGTCTCTGTGCCTGTGTCACCTCTTCTTATCAGGCCACCAGTCATGGGATTTGAGTCCAACTTAATTCCAGGATGATCTCATCCCTAGATCCTTAACTTGATCACATTTGCAAAAACTCTATTTCTAAATAAGGTCCCATTCACAGGATACTGGGAGTTAGGGGTGGGATATAGCTTTTGGGGAGACACTATTCAAACTATCACAGTGGATAACTCAACAAAGAATAGATGTTTTCTCTGAAAGAGTATAGTAAATATAGGCTAAGGTCATGGATTCAGGTATCTCCAAATTTAGAAGATGGATAAAGGAAGTAGTATCAAGGAAAAATATAAATAAAAGAGAGCTGAGATATCAAAAGAGAATCAGAACCAAAGAAGAGGGAAAAATAAAGACCATGGGGTGATCTATTATATCAAATATGGCCAAGGAGGAAAAGAAATAAGTGCTGAGATGAATGCCTAGGAAGGCATGCATTCACATGAACATATGCGTGTGCACTTGTGTGTATACACACACTCAAAAACAGAACCACAGCTTAACTGTTAAGAATTTTTGTAATGAATAAATTTTAAAAAATGGTTTTTCAGCTTCTCTAGGGAAAGCCAAAT